GGTATTTCATAGTTGACCAACGGTTTCACTTTGTTTTTATATGTTGATTTACCTTGAATATAATAGGTGACATTTAATGATATTCGATTGCTTTAGTTGACAAATATAACAAAATACTTCTAAATTAATTAAAATATAAGAAATAAAAACAGATTCTTGTTACATAGGGTAGATGATACTTCTACTCTGATCTTTTATCCATCCACTTAATAAAATTGTATTTTTTTTTTTTACCTTTTTGCCCTTCAGAAACTACACTCATAAATTAGATTTAGGATAATGATTTGAAAGGGTAACGAATTTTCGACTTTTGTCACATTTAGTCACTAAACTTTTTTTCGTTATCTATTTGCCATTGAACTAATGACTAAATGTGAACAAAATCGAAAGTTCATTTCCCTCTAAAAAGTTCAATGACTAAATGTGAACAAACTTCCTATTGTATTATGTTTTAGCAAATTATTTATTTTTGTTTAATTGTAGCAACATTTGTTGATGAAGAAATCTATGAAATAAAAAAACAAAATGTAAAATCCGGATTTCCAGGTATCATCATTTAAGTATTTTTCTTTTGAGTTAAGAAGAGAGACTCGATGAGTTGACGCCTCAACTCATCGAGTAAGGTCGCGACGGATGACTCAGATTAATGAATGGACTCGACGAGTCAGTGAGGCAACTCGACGAGTCCGCGCTGTTGGCAGAAACCCTAAATCTTTGGGCTCGAGCCATATTTAAAGGCACTTATGGCCTTCAATTCCGACTACCTTTCCCATAAGTGAGAACCCTAGCGAGCTTGAGTGTGTAGAGTGAGAGGAAGAGCTATCTTGAGCTTTTTTTGTGATAGATTTGGACCCTTCTAGGTTCAGAGAGCCGAGAATATGAAGCTTTAGTAGAGTAAACCTTGGGGTTCAAAGTTAGGAAACATTTATGGTATATATAGTTACTTTCATCTTACACATAGATATGAAGTATTTTATATAAATTACGTGCTATGTGTGCATATTATTTGAATACTTGTTGTCTATGCTGGATGAAAGATTTTATACATGTTTTAAAAGATTTAAACGGTATATTTATTTTATATCTACAAATATGTTGCGGATGAAACATTTGTAGATGAAATAGTTGGTGTGTGATGAAATAAAATGATGAGAGATAGGTGATGATAGAAAGGTGGTGATAATTAGGTAAATAGATGATGATGAATATGTGATGTAGGATGAAAGGAGATACCATAACCTTAACCAGCAATGTGGCGATGTAGTCATCTACCAGAGTATAGATGGCGACCACGGACTATTCTAGACAACCCAGTGGAAACACCAGCAGGCCCATAACCTGTAGGTGATGAATTACGAGTTCAGACGATGTTGTAACTACTTATTCATTTGATGATACTCTAACCCCTTACTATGAATTACGAGTCCAGATGATGTTGTAACTACATATTCATGGGATGTCACAAATTTCGCATGCCAAACCAATGGTCATAATTCACATCAGTGAGAATGGTTTATTTTTTTGTAAAACCAAAATCAGATTTGAAATTTAGATTTTTTATTTTGGAAAATGTCAAACCATTGGTTTTTTATTTTGGTTTTGGTTTTTTGTTTTTTTTTTAAATATATTTTCAGAGTTTTTTTTATTTTTATTTTTATTTCATAGATTTCTTCATCAACAAATGTTGCTACAATTTAACAAAAATAAATAATTTGCTAAAACATAATACAAGAGGATGTTTGTTCACATTTAGTCATTGAACTTTTTAAAGGGAAACGAACTTTCGATTTTGTTCATATTTAGTCACTAAACTATTTTTCGTTATCTATTTGCCATTGAACTATTGAAATTGTTCACATTTTACCCTTATGACCGGCAACAACCGGTCATAAGGGTAAAATGTGAACAGTTTCAATAGTTCAATGACCAATAGATAACGGAAAAAAAATTTAGTGACTAAATGTGACAAAAATCGAAAGTTCGTTACCCTTTCAAGTCATTATCCCATTAGATTTTGATCATTGACTTTATTTCATTCCTTATTTAGATTTTGTATCCGTTTTTTATTTTGATTTTTACACCTTTTAATTTCGAAATCCATGTCCTTGAATTTGGTTTCCTTATTGGTTTAACTTAGTTTTTAACTTTAATTTTGATTTTATTTATATAATATTAAAGTGAAGTATGTAAAAAAATTAAAACAAAAATTGAATAAAAAATCATGCACATGAACACCGCACCAATATAGTATTATTAGAATTGGTTAAACATCATTTAATAAATTTCATGATATATTCTAATAAAAAAATCATTTTTTTATTAATGGTATTATGTAAGTTGGTATCATAGTCCGCAAACAAAATAGTGTTTACAGACCCCAATTTGAAATAAATGTTTCTCACGATGTAATAATGACTGCTCAACAAAATATTAAAATTAATGCATATCATACTATTGTCCAAATTAATGCATGGTGAGAACCGCTAATTCAAATCGCAATCTGCGACGGCAATATTATTTGTGACCATTATACTTGTTTAGATTACACCACTAATAAATAAAATTATTACCTTATGTTTTGATACTTAATAAACTAAACAAAAATATTTAATCGATTATGATAATAATAAAACACATGTTGTGTTATTATCATAATCGACACACGTTGTGTTATTATCATAATCGATTAAATATTTAATCGATTATGATAATAATACAACACACATTGTGTTATTATCATAATCGATTAAATATTTTTGTTTGATTTATTAAATATTTCATGATACATTAGTTTAAGCATATGGTGATATGCATTCATTTGATGATTTTTGTAGCAGCATCTTATATGAGTAGGGTAAGTGCTTCGTTAAAGCCAATATTACAACATGAGAACTAATATTTCAATTTACGGTCCGAGATAACTATTTACTTTGTGACCATGATACCAAATTAGATTACACAATTAATAAAAAAAATGTTTTATTAGTGTATAGTATGACACTTAATAAATCAAACGAAAATATTTAACTGGTTGCAATAATACTCTATCAGTTTGGTGTTGATGTCATATTTGTATGTTTTTTATTTAAATTTTTTCAAAATTCTAATGAAACCATGAGTTAAGAAGTAAAAACACTACTAACAAATAAAACTGATAATGAAAAATAAAATATTTATAAAATTTTATTAATTTAGATCGATATAACTTTTGCATATAGATTTATAATGATTAGTTAAAACTTAATGTATACATTATTTTGAATATTTGTAAACCTAACTGGGTTTTGCAACAAAAAAAAAAAACAACATATGTGGCTTTGGTTCAGTTTTAGCAAAGAAAGAAAAAGAAAAAAAAAAAAAAAAACTCAACCCAAATCAAGCCATGTGCATCCCTATTTATAGCGTTGAAGACAATTGAGATTTATATAGTTAAATGTTACCATCAAATTAACATGTAGTCTCTCTGAATTATAGTTATAGAATGGGAAATTATATTTTTGATAAATTTAGATAGGTAAATCTTCAAAATAGTCCTAAAGTTTTGGGAAAAGTTACACTTTTGTCCCAACATATTTTTTGAACAAAAAAACCCAGAAAACTGGATAAATTGAACATTTCGGCCATATGTTACCGGGGACCTTCATTTAGCTATTTAATTGGCTTATGTGGCAAGGACTTGCTGAGGTGGTTGGTGAGTCATTCAATGGCCTTGTATTAAAGTCTAAATATAGTGGAAAACTTCATTCGTGCCCTAGCAGACAACAAATGAAGCAGGAGTAGTGGAGGACCAAGACAAATATCTTCTTCATCTTCTTCATCTTCAATGAATCGTCTTAGAAAGAGGTGCTACTGTGGTGATCATGTAGGAATATGGACTTCATGGACTCCATTAAACCCAGGAAGAAGGTTTATAGGATGCCCAAATTACTAGAATGGACTCAAAGATTGCAAGTACTTTCGTTGGTGGATCCTCCTCTACTAAGCAAGTGGTATGCAGATCTATTATTAATATTACATTAGAATGTCAATTTGGAGAACCATCGAGTATTTGGGGAGTTTGGGCAAGAACAACCAGCTGGGAACTTTTTTTGAGACGTTGTGGAAAAACCAATGACACAACAACCAGTTGCATAACAACCAGTGGAAGGAGGAAGATGGAAATCATTGCTTTATGTCTCAGTGGTTTCTTATGTGTTTTTGTGTGGTTATGTTGATGGATTGGTAGGATAGAAAGTTGTTTTAATGTATTTTGGTTGTGTATGTTTTGGTTATGACTAAGGGTTGTTAGTTTACTATGAATGTAGTATCTTGTGACTCATCTGATTATGAATGAAGTAACTAGTTTATATATGAACTTTAAATGTGTTGATTGTAATCAGTGAATGGAATCAAAGTATGATTGTAATAAGTTAATAATGGACTTAATACACAAAGGAATCAATACATAATGAGTCATTAAATAAAACGAATCAATACATAATGGAGTCAATCATGCATGAACGGAATCATGCATGACTAGAATCAAGCATGATTGGAATCATGCATAACTAGTATCCATATAAGCAAACATTGTAAGCATAAGTAATTTATGCATGAATGGAATTTATAAAACAAGGAATCAATATAACCAAAGGGAACATAAACGTTGTTAATTATAGAACATGTAGTAATATTAACCAAAGCCAAACAAGTTTTATGGCAAGTTGCGTAAATGCCTAAAAACACGATCAAGGGGCCCAAAGCCTATAGTTTATATGAATGTAAACAAAAGGGGCTATCAACAAAAGGATATCAATAGTAGAGGCTTATCAACAAAAAGGGCTATCAACATTTTCCCAAACCCAAAAGTTTTATACATGTTCATAAGAAAAGTAGGGATTAGAAACACCCTAATCTAGACTAAGGGGGTTGGATGAACTCAGCCCCATTCCATTCTTGACAGCTACCACCATTTGCAACTTGATCTTTGTTATCCTTTTCGAAGGCTTCCTCCTTCTAAATTAATTCACTTTGCTCCTCTTTGTAGGCCTCCTTCTGAGTTGATTCGATTGTTGTGTGATAGGTATTTCTCTCTCACCATCCATCCTTTCCTCAGTCCTCATTACCTCACTCATCCCTGGCTCATCTATGCCATCCTCCTCATTCATCATTTCCTCATCTCCAAGTGCTTGATCAATTGTTATTTGGATAGAAATTCCAACATCCTATAACAAGCATAATAAAAAGGCCAGTTAGCAAGATTTAACATCACAAAATCAATAATGAGAAAGCATACTTGTGAGATAACAACATCCACATCTTCAATTTGTTGTACTTTTTCTTCACTCAATCCAAGACCTTTAATTTGTTGTAATTCTGCTTCACTGAGTCCAAGACAGTCCATGATCTCTTCTGTAGTGTATAAAGATTTCCTTAGGTTGTCAATTATTAAGCTTATATGATTGTGAAAATCTGGACTTACATCATTTTCACTCTCAAAATTTGGAATGGCAACATTTTCAGGCTCACATTTTGGACTCCTTCACTAGATCCCTACCACCACCTTTACTCCTTCCTCCACCATCCCTTCTACCACCTCTAGATCCTCTTTTAGTTCTCGACCAATTAAGCAAATCAGGTTCCAACCTAGGCATGCCCTTTTTTTTGGTTGAGGTTCTAGAACCACTGTAGGATTCTTGCATGACGTTTTATTGTGTCCCCTTTGTAGACAAGTTTTACACTAGATAGTTCTACCCTTGCTTGGCACTTGAGAGTACTTGTCTTGATTTTCTGAAACATGTCTTCTTCTGTTAACACTAGGCCTTCCTGGCATCCTCCTTTCAATGGGTGGAAGGGGCTTAGTGTAACTTGTTTCTTCCCATAAGATACTTCCATTAATTAGGTGTATATTCTGATCATAAGTTGCCTTGTAATTATTCTTGTTGAACCAACTACTTATAAAGTTAAATGGATCTTGATTGGTGTAAAATATTGCCATTTGTGCATGCACACAAGGTATTCCTGAATGTTCCCATAATCTACAAGTACAACTTTTTTCCTTCAAGTTAACTCCATAGTTTTGAAACCCATTCCTTACTTCATATTCATTCACTCCACTTGGAACTGCATACCAACTTCCGCAAACATATAGGATAGAACATAAGATGCAAACACATAAGATAGAACATGTAAAAAAAAACAATTGAGAATATTTACTTAATGTCTTCTCCAAATTCTTCTATCTTTGTTATCGCGGAAGGAAAAACTTCACCAACCCAGTTTTTAGCCTCTTGTTTCAGATTAAAAGCCCTTTCCATCATATAAAGCCTAATCTATTCAAGCATAGTTAGTAAAGGTTTCTTTCTTGCGTCTACAATGATTGTATTGAAACACTCAGCAATCTCATTCTCTACAGCCTCACAAGCCATGGCAGTAGAGAAATAAACCCTACACCATGAAGTTGGTTCCCTTGCCATGAGATGATCATAATCAGCATAACTTATTGCTCTAATCCTTTCCATATTAAACATGAAATCTCCTACTGTGGTACATTTTATAGCTGCCCAAAACTTGTTTATGAGCTGCACTCCACTATAAACTTTTCTGAAATGGGCATAAATATGCCTTGCACATTTCCTGTGCTCAAAATATGGTAGAATATCCTTACTAGCTTCAACAAGACCCTATAACATGAATAAAAAAGTTAATTAGCAACAATATACACTATTGGTCACTGATTACACAAACACCCCTTCCACCCTGCAATCCAAGATCATCATTAACCAAATCCAGGAACCATTTCTAGTTGTTCTTGCTCTCTACATCAACAACTGCCTAAACTATAGGATACACCTAATTATTTGCATCCCTACCTGTAACGCCCGTAGATCCGGGCTAGTCAATTTATAGACGATAAGCATCAAAAATGACTTTTTGATAGAAGATTATTTAGAATGAATAATCTCAACTAAGCTATAGTAGTCATGACAAGGATTCCGGACATATAAAGAATGCTGAAATCTGAGTTATAACAAAGAAGTTATGACCTGTCGAAGTTTCGTGAAACAACCGACACGACACAGCACGACGTAAATAGTGAAATTACGATAGAGCGATATTTAGCTTTAACGATCTAAACAAAAGTCAGTGTGCATAAAAAGAACGTCTAAATCTGACTTCGTATGAGGAAGTTATGATTTTTCGAAGTTTCGACTGACCGGTATACAGCCCAAAGTTCGAATATAAGATCAAGTGGTTTCTAGACGAAACAATCTAAACGATAATCGAAGATCTCGTTGATAGTAGTTCAACGGTGAAAAGACAGTAAAAAACGGATGTCAGATGAAGGAGTTATGAATTTCTAACGAAGTTTTCCTGTCCCGACCTACTAAAAATAATATATTAATAATATATTAAAAATAAAATCAAATTTAGCCAACAAAGTCTAAATGAGAGTTGTAGAGCATAATCTCACCTACGCGTGGATATAAAGAACGTCGAAAACGGAGTTCGTATGCAAAAGTTATGAATTTTTGAAGTTTGGGGCGCGAAACCCCAAAACTGTCAAAGACCACGACGTGAAAACAGTGTTCACGATGTGAACTCAGTGAACAACGCGTTTCGAGCCTAGAAGACACACGGAAATCCTAGGGGATGATCAGGATCAAAAGTCACGATGTGAACAAGCCTGGTTCATGACGTGAATGTCGAATTTGCACCCTATAAATAGATTTCTTGGGCTACTGAGTTTTAGTGCTCAAATTCTTCTCTCTCACTCGTTATTGCCTCGTTTTGTGTGCAAATTATACCCCCCGAATCCCCGGTATTGATCCCGACACCTGAAGCAAGTCCCAAATCCCCGAAGATCCCGAGAAGTAAAGTTTTCGAGCCAAAACCCTGCCTGCGAGAGGCTCGGTTTTCAAGGAAGCATCCCGGTTTCATCGAATAATTATACATTTAGAGCGGTAGTGCTCTCCGATCATCATCTTATCAAGTGAGTGTGTGGTTACTTTCTTCTAACACATAAATATGAAGTATTTGCTATGAAATACGTGCTATGTGTTTATATATTATTGTTTATTTGAGATGAGTGTGGAATGGATGTTTTATATAGTTTTTAAATGAGTTAAAATGTATATGTATTTTATATCTACAAATATGTTGGGTAGAACATGGGTAGATGGAATAGTTGGTGTGTGATGATAGATGGTATAAGTAAACTCTGGTGACTATGGATTTAGCGTCTGTTAAGTGAGCCTTGGTAACTATGGAGTTAGCAGCTGATAGCTATGGATTTAGTACATGATAGATAAACTTTGGCAGCAATAGACATCGTGCCAATTCCTTAGGTAATCCTTAGGAATTAATTAATGAAGAAGATAATGGGGATGAGTAATTAGGTTGATTGTTTGATGATTAAATGTAATATATATAATATTGTGGGATGAAAACCCTATATGCTCACCAGGCTCCTAAGCCTGACCCACTCAGTTTTCTTTGTATCATATGTATCAATACGAAGACATAATTCACTGAGAGGTTAAAGGAGATGTAAATCATCAGTGTAAATAAATGTAAGTTCTGTTTATGCTTGTGTGTCCGTATCGGAACATGACATCCTGAGATTTTGTTATATAATGAAAATACATTTCTTTAAGAAATGCTTTGATAAATTCTTATCATATTTTGTTTTGGGAACAAATTCTACAACAATTTTCTTTAAACAATTACTCTGATTTAAAAAACAAATCATAAACAAATCGGTCTTTTCTGAACGTGAAATTGGGGATGTCACACTACCTATTGCAGTTAACACTTCACCCTTACACTGTCCATCTAAAAACGAATCATCCAATCCTATTACCCTACGACATCCCCTTTTCCATCCCTCTTTTATTGCTTTAAAGCAAATGTAGAATCTATGAAATGTTGTGGTATTATCAGGGTTTACAGTAACTGTAATCCTAACTGTGTTTTCTGGATTGGATCTTAGTAGCTCATGCTCATAATACAAAACTCTTGCATAGTGGTCACTCAATTTCCCATCAATTAATGACAGTGCCATCATCCTTGATCTATAACACTTTGACCATGAAATTTTGCAATGAAATTTACTTTGTATATTTACCTGCATCTCTTTGCAATTTAAATTAGGTTTCCTAATCAACTCCTTCACAAATTTCCTAGCTAACCAGGTAGGATCCATAAGCCTTGAAGTGTTAAAAGTCCTAACACATTTATGAATGTCTATCATCTTTTTGACTTGGAAAGACCTTTCAGTACTCATCCAAGAAGCCCTAACCACAAATGGACACTTCTCTGGATCACTTCCACATATTGCCACTAGTCTAATACTATCACATTTTTTTAAACCGATTTGAAAACCTTTACTAATAGCATAGTTGGTTTAACACAATTTCAGTTCATGTGGGTATTCATACCTTTCACCAAATGTTGGTCTCATTTTGTTCCATTTCACGTTTGGATTGTGGGTGGAATACTCAAATTCCTCATCACTATCTTCCTCGTTACTACATTCTAGATAATCTTCATCTGATTCTTCTTTAATGATTCCACTTTGAGCATCGTTTCTAGATTTAGCATCATTATCAGTTTGAGCATGATTTTTAGTTTGAGCATCATCTACTGCCTCGTAATCGTCTTCTTCACATAGAATATTTAGAAATTCGTCTTTGCATCGGGAAGCTTGTTTCTTTTTGAAGTATGCATCCAACTCCACATCTATTATATCAAAATCATGGATGCCGTCCATGATTTCAATTGCACGGGGGTAAAAACCCTAGTTTACTGAGGGGGAGGGAGAATGTGAAATCAGAGAGGTAAGTTGTATTGTGTATGTGTGTGTGTAAATGAGATCGATTAAACCCACGTAAGCAACTCCTGGCCACATAAGCAATTTTAACCGGCTAAATGAGGGTTGCCGGTAAAATAGGGCCAAAATGTTCGATTTACCCGGTTTCCTAGTTTTTTTTTTTGTTAAAAAATATGTTGGGACAAAAGTGTACACTTTTCCCAAAAGTTTGGGACTTTTTTTTGAAGATTTCCCATTAACATACTATGTTTAATTGATATAATCTAATTTGTATTTAGCATGTAACTATAATCTATTATTTAAATTTAAAAGTAAACCAAATTTTTCTTGAATATACTAAGTCATTGTAAAAATTTTTATATATGTAGCGGTCACATTACAATATAATTTTTTACATAAATAATAGTTTTTTTTTTTTTTTTTTTTTTTTTTTTTTTGCAAACTTGGAAACCATTTGCAAGATGTCGGTAAATGACTAGAAAAAGCAAGTCAAGCAACCACTTGTGAATGGGATTGAAGAGTTCAAATCATTATGTAAAATATCAACAACCTACTCAATCTTAACATTATTATTTTCTAATGATCAACTTATACACATAGATAAAGAAATAATCATCTAATTAACAATATATCAATGGACTTATAATAAACCAAAACATTCCAAACCTAAACATATAATAAAACAAAACATTAAACTTTCCATGTGAAGGCAATATACTTCGAGAAATCAAACCAATTAAGTAGATTCTTCAAAGTATAATGTTGTAATTAGAAGAAATGAATATATGATGTTATTATAAATAAATAATTTTCTTTCAAACTACAAAAAAATATTACAAATTGAAAAAATTTATTATATCAATGAAAAATGTTAGAATATAAAATTTTAAAATAATGTAGATTAGATTAACCATCTAGGAACTGAAAAATGTTACAAATTGAATGAAACATATAGGGATGAAGAATTCTAATTATTATATAAGGATGAAGAATTCTAACTATTATACAATACAAATATATAATATATTGACTTAACCATCTAGGATATAAAATATTTCATAATAAAAGTTCAAACTTCTATTCTAGAAATGAATCATTGTACATTCCATGTTAAGGAAATGTACATTTAAATGAAAATTCAATATCTTGTGTAAATGAGGAGTGATATCTTGTGTAAAGAATTGTACTTTACAAGTAAAATGCTAAAATTAGGTGTATGATGCACATATAGATCAATATTTCTAAAAAAAACTAAATATATGTAAAAGAAACATGTTAATATAAAGAAACAAGAAACACAAATAAATGAGTTTAAATGAAAAAGAAATATACCATCATTATAGTTGATGTTGTTTTAATCACATGTATCATGTTCTCGTTGTCTCCTTTTCGTCGCTGCTCGTTAGTGTCCCTTTTTCCCATCAAGGAAAAAATGAAAGTAAAGAAATAGAAATTAAATTAAACATTGATTACCCTTTATTATATTTTTTATTATAATATTCTTGTTTAAATATTTTACCTAAAATGACATTTGTCATATAAATATAAGATTTTTAATTATTTATACTTTGACATAAGCTCATTACACACCTAAATAGCAATGTACTTTAAAAATACAATGCTATAACTAGATGAAAGCATTAGAAATTTCCAACATCATTATTAAATTTCAAAATTATTTGACTCGATTGGCTCTTAAAAGACCGATAATAGTGACTTTAGATCGATGAAATGATATGACATTTTTAAACACGATCTAGATAATATAATGTTGTGCTTATATGTGAGGGAAAAATCGTATTAGTTATCCATTTTTTAAAAAGGGTAAAAACATGAATTTGATATTCTAACTTGTATTTGGCTATCTCAGAATCTAGCAGCATCTTTAGTGGGTTACCCATTATGTCTTCGATCATTGTTAGGTTGTGTTCATTTCCAATTCCACTGGTCATAATCTCTTTGCATATTGTGACCCACATAAAATTGATACACAAATCATTATCCTACATTTGGAAATATTTACATCATTAACATTCACTAAGAAATATATTAACCTTTATCTTATGTACTAAATGAATTATAGCTCTGTTAATGGATCTTATTGCTACTTTAATGACAATACCATCCGAACTAACTACATGAAACTGAAACGAAGGAGGTGTAAATCTACAGTTGATCATGGACATATATTAATATATCCATTAAAGAGAAAAGTAATCTCCAAATCCATAAAACATTGTCAAAGCATAACTGTAATATAACATGGAGCATAAATAATGACTCCATCATTTAATCTTGGAAGATGTTATTGGTCCTTCCCTGTTTTAACAAAATCTTAACATTCGCTATAAAATTCGAGTAAAACAAATGACAGAAAACAATAACCACTTTCTAGATCTAAACAACACAATTTTTTTTAGAAGTTTACACACTTTTATTAAACAAACATAAAAATAGAAAACATGTTTGGTTTCATTAATTATTATATACTTTAAATAGTTGGTCAAATAAATTACATATTTATGAACTATTTAATTATATTCAACAATAACACCTTAACTGAAAATAGAAATCCTCATCACATAAGAACTAAAAGAATGCATTGAATACTCCCAATGGATCCCAAGACAAAGTGCAAATGAATCGTTGTTATCCTATTTGAATCTTTGTTTATCGATTTATTTTTCAATTGGATTTTTTACCTGCTATCAAAACCAATTGAGCAATGACATATGCAAGAGATAATACCCAAGTCCCTACAACAGATTAAAATAAATTATTTTTTTTTCGAAAACACGAACATACACTCTTAGAAAAAAAATACTAGCAACAAAATCATTGAAAGATAGTCATCAAAAACAAGATATATAGAAAAAATATTAGTCATTGAGGCATTTTGTCAAACAATTGGTGTTCATAGAAAAAAAAAACCCAAAAAACGAAATCTAAAAATTATGTTCAACAACCTAATTCTACACATCTTGGGTTAATCTACATTGCCATGAATGTGGTCTTTGCACAATTTCATGTTCAAGCCCACATATTCCATCGTTCAAAAGGCTTAGATCCTGCACATAAGAATACAAAATTGAAGAAATATATATAACAATAAACAATATTTAATTCTTATCTTAATCCAAAACAATTTAATCATGCCTACAAGAAGCAATAAGATTGAAATTGTCTAAAGCATAGGAAGACCCAAAAGGGGACTATAGCATACTAAGATGAGAGACTCACAATTGAATCTTACATGAAATGCGAGAAACGAAGGTGAAGGAGATGATTAGCTTTATTGGAGACGAAGGCGAAGGAGTGAATCTTGATATGGAATTCCTAATTTATTGCTATTGAATTGAAACTAATTGCCGGTAATTTGGTATATCAATTCAAACGTGAATTCATAACTATTAAAGTTGAAGCAGGAGGGCTATTGGGGAAATTCACTTTGGTATTTTGAGCGGGAAAGTTGATTGGGGGAGGGCTTAAAGAATGCCACGTGGCAAAAAGTCTACTTATTTATTAGATTAGGGGAGGAGATTATTTGTTTAAAATTAAAAGAGAAAAAACACTTTAATTTTAATAAGTAAATATTTTTCTCACTTTTTTTATAAATTCAAACTTTAAATATCTAGAATTTTATATCTAATTTTTCTTTCAAATAAACCCAGTTAATAGATAGGTCTAACACCTAATCAATATAATTTTATTAAAATCTAAAAGAAAGATCAAAGAAATTACAAGTTTCATTTTTGGAGAACATCAGAAAAAAAATTAAAAATTATTAAAAAGTAATAATTAACAAAATTTAGAGATTTTTATTAGAAGAGAGAGATTAAAATAAAATAAAGAAATCTAACTTGGATGAGAAAAAATGATAGTAAGATTTATTAAGATTTTTATGGTTTTTTTTAAAGGTGTACATTCTTCAAATATTTGTTATTGTAAAGTAGCTTTAGTTAAACTTTATATAATTTTAAAGACAAAACTGCACAAATGGTCCATGTGGTTAGCGGAAAATTGCTATTTTGGTCCAAAAAAGTTTGGACTACCACCAAAAGTCCAAACTTTTCATTTTGTTGTGATTTTGATCCAACTTCTATTAATCTTTTTTATAATGACAATTTTATCCTTACCTTTTTGTTTTTCAGTTTATTTATTTACTTAAAATACTTTTCCAATTAAAAAAAGAAAGAATCTCTCTTCTCTTCTCTTCTCTCTCTCTGTCTCTCTCTCTCTCTAATAATCATATATTAACATAGCAATAAAACCCTTCAATAGCCTAAACAAAATCGAGAAAAGGAACTGGAACAAAATGCATGTGAGGAACAGAGCACCGAAGATGGTAAACGAATGGGAGATCCGGCCAGATGAGGCAAATCTTCGATTTTTTTTCATTTTCGTTCATGAATGCGTTTCTTGATTTCCAAAAACAACCACCAGTTCTTGTTCTTGAAAAACAAAAACCACTTTCTTTATCCAAGATCAGAAGAGCAACTACCACTTGATTACCATGGTTCTTGTTTTTCACAACAGATTTGGAAGCCATCTCTTTTCAGAATCAAAAGCCCACAAAGCTAGGGTTTTGATAAGAAAGGGTTGAACATATTTGTTTTCTGGATTTGTTCTTGAACCCAGATGTTTTCAGGATTTGATTTGGGGATTTAAATATTTGTTCTTGAAACTCATTTGGACCTACAAACTAAAGATGAACCATCAATTTCAAGAAATCTTGTTTATATGTATGTTCAAGAAAAGGAGAGAACCAAGATTTCTAAACCCAAAAAATAGATGAAGTTCGAAAAAGGAAAGAGAAGGCTAGTGGTGTCCTGTTGCGACAGGGTATCTCTGGTCAAGATTTGCAGTGGCAGCCGGAGATGGTGGTTGTGGTTGGTGATGGCAGAGTGGGTCGTATGGGTGGTGATAATCGGAGTTTCCAA